TATGTGGGAAATCCTATTTATTACAAATTAAAAGAGTATTCCAAGGAAGATGCAAAAACTTTTGAAATTTTAAAATAATTGTTGAGTGCTGGCAACATCTGCCTAAAGCCATTTGATTTGAATGCACCCCTATGTTCACTTAATTATGGCATTGTGATAGAAGACGATAAACTAAATAGGCTATTTCCTTAGAATAATAAATGTAATATTTTATCCAAATGCATCGCTCTGATTTCTCGTCCCTCTTCCTGTCAGGTAAGTGACGTGAACGACGATGTTCGGAGGGCTGCTGTGGAGTCCATTGGATTGATCATGTTCAGGTATGGTGCTGTCTATCCTCACCTGTCTCTCTCTCATCAATGCTCCTTGTCGTCTCATCCTGTGCTTCATTATAAACAGACCTCGTCGGGATGAGCCGCTCTCTGATAGCTTGCCAGTAACCCTGATTAATCAGCCCTTAATGTATACACAGACGAGATTCCACCCATTCCTCTGCAGTGCTTTACAGATGTGGTTAGAGTGTCTTCTGAAGTGCTTGTCCTCAGCAGTTGAGTTCGGTCCCATTAAGAGATGGATCACTTCCTTGGCACTTGCATTATTGTCAATGAGAGTTTTGCCATCCTTTTGTGCCTCTACCTAGTGTTTCGGCATTGAGTGTATGTAGAAGTAATGGCAATTTCTGTAATATTCTCTTATGCAGTACTTCAACTAGGGGTGTGCGATATTGACAAAAAATAATATCTCTCTTCTGGGATTGATAACGATAATTAGACAATATTTTTGTGCTGGTGTCTTAAAAAATACCGTAGACGGCTGACTTCTGAAGTTTTTGATATTCTTCATATTTTGTGAGAAATTAATCTTTTCCAATAAGTTTTCCCTTTATAAAGCCATTTTTTCTAAAGGTGTCCATCACCTTTTGAGTCCAGTTCTTACGTTTAATCAGTGAGTTAGAATAATAAGACATTTGCAAATTAAAATCAGACCAAGCAAATTAAATCAGTATAAACTAAATTCACCTTTTCAATGCAGAGGAGAAACAAAAGCTGCATCTGAAGTGGCATATAGATGTATTTACACACCGTTTAGTGCAGAACATGAATGCATTTAACTTGCCATTACAAATGCATAAATAATATTTTGATATATATAAAAGGTGGAATACTGATATTTGAAATGATTTAAAAATTAAAAGATACTATAAATGAGAAATTGAAACCGCCAGTAGGTGGCAGCAAGTCACTGTTAATAAGTGAGTCGTTGCGATTGAACCGAATCATTTAAACGGTTGAATTTAAAATGTTGATTCATTCAGGAATGAAACACTGTCATGTTGCTCAGAGACACAAAACAGCGCTGTGGCTGTTTGGAATTATTGTTGTTGTCGTAATAGAGCAAAAACATGCAATATGGTGGCCAAAACGTAAGTCTCTTAATTAACTTCTTGTTTATTGAAAAAATCACATTTGTAATCATGCAAATTTTTTGGGAAAACACAGTACTCTTCGTGTGATATTGATTAACTACATGAAATTATGTAAATATATACATTTTCTGTCCTAATTTCTTGTATTTTGTAACAGACTGAATCATGCAGTAAAAGAACGCTTTCTAAATGCGCACACGCATTTATTCTAACCTTCATGTATGCGTGTACTCTGTAGGTGTGTTTTCTTTGGTCAAATCACACATCGCTAAAACAACAATTACAATATTATCGCAGACGACATGTATCGCTTATACCAGAACTAACTTCAACCAGAAATTAGTAATCATTTACCCCCCATTGTGGTTCCATTTACTAGTATGCGTTTTAGTTTTTAGTTTAAAAATACATATTTTCAAAATGGACTGGTTGGTTTAATTAGTCTGGTTTAGGGTCATGTCCGCTACTCACTACAAACTTCAAAACATCTGGATGTTGAGTAAATATTGAAATAGCCAGCATTGATCATGGATCAATCTAAATGGCAACATTTGTTGACCTCAAAAATCACCAGTTTCGAGACAAAAATACTTTGAAGTAGTAGTTTTTAATCATAGGCCCAACCACAGATTTCGATCAAAAACAGCTTGCACCTTTAAACACCCTGCATGCAAGGGTAAATCATGTTGTGTTGTCCCATATGCTTCTCTTTTTTTTTTATTATTTTGCCGGCTGTAAGTTCCCCCTCAGACGCCCCCTCTGGTTCTTGGCCAAGTAGAACTGGTGAACTATTTTAAGCCCTAAAAAGGCCATGCGATATTCCCATGATCAATTGTGAGTTAAAAATAATCTATATAAATCCTTCCTGTGTTTAGAGAGTGCACAGAGCTGCAACAATTCAACAGGTTTCTGTCGTCTGTCCGACAGGCCTCCTATCCCTGCTGCACATGCAAATCATGACTGCACACCTTCTTCTTTTGTGGGTGTTGATTGATCACTTACTACAAATGCGAATGGAATCTTTTCACCATAAGATCATGCTGCAAAACATGGTTGATTTTTTTTCTTCAGTGTTTCCCCTGCCATTATATTATATGCCCCCCCCCAATGGCACC